GCTAGGAAGCTAGGAAACAAGGAGGAACTTAAGAGAGACATACATGGTCCCCCAGAGAAGGGGAAAGGGACAAGATCTCCCAAGACAATTGGGAGGGGGCAATGAGGGGAGAGGGAATCAGAAGAAAGAGAAGGGGAGAGGAGGACATGAAGGAGCAGGAAGATTGAGTTAGGGGAAGAATAGAGGAGAGCAAGAAAAGAGATAGCATAATAGAGGGAGCCATTTTAGGTTTAAAGAGAAAACTGGCACAAGGGAAATGTTCAGAGACCTACAAGGATGACCCTAACTAACAATCTAAGCAATAGTGGAGAAGCTATCTAAATGCCCTTCCCTGATAATGAGATTGATGACTACCTTATATGCCATCCTAGAGCCTTCACCCAGTAGCTAATGGAAGCAGAAGCAGACAGTCTCAACTAAACACTGAACTGAACTCCTGGAATCCAGTTATAGAGAGGGAGGAGTGATGAATAAAGGGGTCAAGACCAGGCTGGAGAAACCCACAGAATCAGCTGACCTGGAGAAGGGGGAGCTCATGGACTCCAGACTGATAGCTGGGAAACTAGCATAGAACCAACCCAGACCCCATGAACATGGGTGTCAGGAGGACTGGACAATCTATGGGGCCTCTGGTAGTGGATCAATATTTATCCCTAGTATACGATGGACTTTTGGAGCCCATTCCACATAGAGGGTTACTCTCTCAGCCTAGATACAAGGGGGGAGGACCTAGGCCCTGCTCCAAATGATATGTCAAACTTTGAAGATCCCCCATGGAAGGCCCCACCTCCCTGGAGAGCAGAAAGATGATGGAATAGGGGGTTAGTGGGGGGAAAGAGAGGAGGGGAGGGAGAAGGAACAGGGATTGACATGTTAAAAAAAAGTAAGTTTGTTTCTAATTTAAATTTTTAAAAAGAAAAAAGAAAAGGGAAGAAAAATAGCGTTTGCTGCAGGACTTCTAATGGTTTAAACCCAAGTCTGTGCAGTCTCTCTGGTGAATACCCCATAACCTTGTCTTGAATAAATTAATGAATGAATGAATCAATAAATAAATAAATAAAATTTGGTATCCGTTTATTAGGCTTAAAGAAAAACATTGCCATTGACTAAAAACAGTCAAAACAGCAGCTACATTATGTTTTTCTTTTTTTAAGTGCTATGCCATCAGGTAGATAAAAACAACAACCATCATGAAATAGCATGTGAAACCTGCTAGGATGACTCCAAAGAAGACAATGACTAGTGTTTAAGGATGTGAGGAAACCAGAAAATCTTCATGAACTACTTCCTGATGATGGGATTACACAACGATACAGTGCCTTTTGAACACAGCTGACACACTCCTAAAAGGTTAAACACTGTATCACCCAGGCCATTAGCAATTCTGTCCATGACAGAAGTGAACATGTGTCTCCACAGCTGGGCAGTGGTGGTGCACTTCTTTAATCCCAGCACTGGGAGGCAGAGGCAGGTCAAGCTGAGTTCCAGGCCAGGGCTGCAGAGAGAAAAACCAAAACAAGAAAGATGTGTCTACACAAAAGCTTTTGTCTAAATGTTCAGAAGCAACATTATTTGCAAGAGACCCAAAACAGAAATAACATCAATGTCATAGAAACAAAAACATATACAAAACTAAAACAAAAACAAACAACAAAAAGCACACAAGATTGTTGAAGTTAGAGCTTTCATGTTATTGTGTATACAAGAACTGGAAATTGTCAAACGAAAACATAGCAGGAAGTCTCAGTTTTACAGAAGTCATTGCATGGGTTTAGAGAGTTCCTATTCACGTGAACAAGAAGTTTGGGGGTGGTGATATTTTGTTTAATATCTAACAAATACTTAGCTTGTCTGAAGAGCAGAGTGCAAAGTTAGCCACACAAGTTAGCCATAGAGGACAGGCAGTGGTGGTACATACAAAGGCAGATGGATCTCTGTTAGTTTAAGGCCAGCCTAAGCTACACAAAATTGATCCAGTCTAAAAGAAACAGGGCTCACACAAAGGTTATCTCAGCACTGGGATTTCAAGCCTTTAATCCCAGCACTAGAGAGGAATAAGGCAGGAGAAGACAGGAGCTCAGTGCAGTCTAAGGTTTGGTCAACACAGGTGCAGTCTGAAGATACTGTCTGAGGACAGGATCGCCTATTCCATCTGAGCATTGGTAGAGGTGAGAACTCTCTAGTGGCTGCCCTCTTTGCTTCTCTGGTGTCTAGCTTTAACCCCAATATCTGTCTCTGAGTTTTTATTATTAAGCACCAAGAATCTGTGCTCCAATAGAGCTCAGTTGGTAAAAGTCTGCCTAGCAAGCACAGCAGGACATTTTTTTTTTTTTTTTGGCCACAATGGTACATATTCAAGGAAAGGGTGAGACTCTGTCAAAAAATTAAAAAATAAATAAATAAATAAGAAAAGGAAGGAAGGAAGAAAAGAAAAAAAGAAGAAGAAATGAAATCAATGAGAAAACAAAGAAAAAAGGAGATGCACACAACAGAGAGGAAATAGATTAAAAGCATGAAGGAGACATTTGAAAAATCAATAACCAGGGTAGGTGTGGGTGGCACATGCTGTTAATCAACAATGGCAGAAAAATCTCTGGGAGCTTGGTGTACATACTAGTTCCAGGACAGCAAGGGCTACAGAGTGAGCCTGTGTCTCAATAACAGAGAGAGAGAGAGAAGGAGAGAGAACCAATATACTTGTTAAACCTGCTCAACTTTATTAATAATTAAGAAACTTTAAATTAGCACCATAATGCTGTAATAGTTAAATATCTTTAAGTCTTTTGGATGAAAATACTCCCACATACAGCTATTGCATAAGCTATTTTGTACAATCACATTGCAAAGCAGTCTAGCATAAGTTAAAGTTCAAGATAAACATTATCTGTTTCAAAATTCTATGTTTTTAAAGCTGGGCTTGGTGGTTCAGTCCTGTAATCCCAGCTACTAACCTGGCTGGAGCAGTAGAATTATAAATTCAAGGCCACCAAGACAGTGTATAGAGATCTTGTCTCAAAATAAAAAGTGTAGATAGACAGATAGTTGTGAATGAGGCTCAGTGGTAGTGGTAGAATGCACAAGACCCTAGGTTCAGTCTGTCTCTCTCCCTTGCTTCCTCCCTTGGTCCCTCCCCTCCTCTTGGTCCTAGTAACCAAAACATTGTTGGCTAGTCAAGAAATGCATCACTTGGTGCTTGTTAGAGATGCCCCATTCTGCTCTAGTGAATAGGTTCCAAAACACTGCTACAAAACCAAAACCAAATCAATCAAACACACACACACACACACACACACACACACACACACAATCAGTGGAAGCAGTATCTACTGAGATAAGACAATAAAGGAAATAAGTAACCTAGTTGTTTCCTGAAGAGAAGATAGGATTAAGGAAAACCTAAGAGGAAGAAAGTTACATAGTTATCAGGCAGGAGCCAATTATTTACTTCATTATATAAGCAGAAGCATGTGACATTATCACATCTATTCAATGTACCTATAAAAAGTTTAATGTGAAAAGTTTTAAAATAAGTTCTTTTGACTATTGCATTTATGTGGAGGGGGGCAGGGAGTTGTTGAGATAGGATTTCTTTGTGTAACAGACCTGGCTATGCTGGAACTCACTTTGTTGACCAGGTTGGCCTCGAACTCACAAAGATCCACCTGCCTCTGCCTACTGAGTGCTGGGATTAAAGGTGTGTGCCAGCACATCCAGCTATTGCAGATTTTCTGATAAAGGCAATGATTTATATGTATTGCCTGCAGTAGATGTACTTGTTACACTGACTGGCAAAAATTGTGCATCTGTGTGAAGTTAAATAAGTTGTGGGAAACGGGATTTTGTTTCACAACCCCTAAGATTTTCCAATGCTGAGAAAATGTCACCCCAGCTTCCTCCCATTTTATTCTCTCTAATCCCTTGGGCATTGGTGCAGAGTTTTAGAAGCAAGAACATTTGAATGTCACTGGACTTTTATACAACTGTATACATGTATGTATACATCACCTATCAAAGAAAACTCTAGTTCTCTCTTATTCTGTCTCCCTCTTGGTTTTGTTTTAAAAGAATGGATCTCATCCCATGGTTCAGGCTGACTGAACTTTGATTCATAATGTTATTGTCTCTCTCTAATCTCTCTCTAACATCCCCTTCCCCCGCACCTTCACAGTGCTGGGTGCTGGGTTTCTGATGTTCCTTTTACCGTTCTCCTTGGCCTCAATTTGACATTTCTCTAAAAGGCAAAGCAATTCGGGTTTTAAGTTTGTGACTCATTTCTTAAGCTAGGCTGTTGTATCTGACCACATTCTCTAAGACTGAAAGACAATGTGATGGCATGTTTATTTTAGATGCGAGAAGCCAGTTTGGACAACCTCAAGGACACTTCGCAGGAGAAAGAAATGTTGTCACACACAAGTGTTCCAGTATGGACTTATGAAAAAGTCATGCTTCAGAACCTTGTTAAAAAATATAAAAACCTCCTATTTTTCTGCCTTCAGTGTAGTTACAGCGCAACACCAGGAAGGACATTTTGCTACTGACCGCTCAGGTCTTTAATGTGTGGCCTTAATTTTTAAAAAAGAATGATGTATGTATGTGCGCACCTAAGTGTGTGTATGTTGAGCACATGCATGTAGTAGGTGCTCAGAGATGGTAGAAGAGGACATGGGATCCTCTGGAACTAGAGTTGTAGGAGGTTGTTAGCCACCTGATGTGGCTAGAGACTGAACCCTCGTCCTCTGCCAGAGCCATCTCTGTAGCCCCTAAACGTGATTTCTCTCCGTTTTCTGAGCTAAAAGATGTTGTTGGTGAGTGTATACTCACACAGCAGTAACTGGCCCTTTGAGGTGCCCTCCTCCCTACTTCTACCCTCTCCCCCAATCCTCTTCACAGAGCTTTGAGGCTGCAACCGGCACCGCCCCGCATCCTGGTTGGCTGCTGGGTGGGAGGCTCGTTCCTTCGCTCCCATTGGCCGCTCAGGGGAGGTGCGTCTCGCGTCTCGGGATTGGTCACTTGGAGGAGGCGTCTCTCGCAGCTGGGCGGTTGGTGGCTATTTCCGGAGTAAGATGGCTGCAACGCGTGTGCTGGGGACCTGGAGCCGGAATGCTGTCAGACTGGTAAGCAGGATTGAGTGGGTCTGAAGTCGAGAAGGAGTGATTTAGTAGATGTCACTTGGAGGGGGAGAGGTGCGTTGCTTCCTTCTTTGAGTGTCACGCGTCCTGTGAGTAAGTGATGGAAAGATGCATGCAAACAGAAGGGCAGCGAAGGTGGCGCGCCAGCAAAGCTGGGAACAAACTCCCAGCTCCTACCTGGGCGCGCTCCTGTGGCGATTAGCGTTCCTCCCAGCGGTACCCAAGTCCCTGTCTTTCAGCCTGCTTCACTTTTGCCTGAGCAGCTTTAATGCTAGCCAGGCACTGTCATAGGCGCTGCAGACACAGAGCTACGTTCTTTCGGGATTATTGTGTCCCCACCACACGCCAGACGCCGACGTTGTTAGCCTAACCCGAGGCAATTTTCCGTGGGGAGGAAGAGGAGAAGGAAAACTGTACCCTCTAGCTTGAGATTCACTCGGAGCTCTGCTTCTCTCCTTGGTCCACAAGACACACCGTTCCAACCTTTTATCATCAATTTACCATCTGCATTTGCCTGCAGTCCGCTCTCACTCACAAGCTTTTAGCAACAACGGTGGAAGTATCCGATTAGGCATTCTGTTTCTTCCTAATTACATAACTTCTTGGATACTGACTTTTCCCATTCCTCTAGATGCTCCTACAGTGGTGGCCTCCTGATCCCACAAAACCTTTTCCCAGCCTGCTGCTGTATGTTCTGGGCACTGGGGATATAAATATAACACAGACAGTCACCATCCCTTTCCTCCCGAGTTTGTAATCTAGCAGAAGAGAGCAGGGGAGAGAGAGGGCTAGGAAAGACAAATTGCAACGGTTTTAGAATCCATCAGAGACGTGCTATTATGGAACAAGTGCTCAGAGCTACTGTGCCTCATGGGGATGATCTTTGTGGAGGAGTGGGGCGCAGAGAGGACTTCCTGGAGGGCTGCGAGTAAGGAGATTGGGAAGGGGAAGTAGGAGGTAACCAGCAGAAGAGAACCTTACTAGGCAGTATTGGTGGCTTTTCTTTTGAGAGCTCCCCATTCCTGGCTTGTGAGACAATATTATTCTCCCTACATCTTTTGCTGTTTTGTTCCACTGTCTTCTTTCTCCAGCTTCTGAATGCTGTTTTAAATACAGTCACACTGCACAAAGACTTTGCAGTCAATCGTCCCAAAAGATTACAATGGGTCTGAACACTTCCATTGAACTTCTACATGATTTGATGTGTGTAGATTCACACACAGTTGCAGTTGCCTACAGTGTTTAGCACAGTAACATGCCCCACAGTTTTGTAGCATAAGAGTTAGCCTATAGCTTAGGTGGGTAATAAGCTAAGCCATTCGGTTTGTGTAAGCATCATCAAATGATGGAGTTCTCATAGTCCTGTCATTAAGTGATGTGTGGCTACTTCCTTTCTAAATATGCCCGATGCACTTTTCCTACTTCCTGCCTTCTCTCTCCCACTCCTCTGGATGTAGTCACCAGCTATGCTAATGGTTTCCTGGTGTTTCTTAGTCTTCCAAATGGGTGTACAGAAGGCTCCTGTATTCTGCTGTTCAAGAGATCTCTGCAATTGCATGCTGCAAGGCATTTTTCAATTGCAAGTAACACAGATCCAATGAATGACAGGACATCACCTATGCATACAGATGACAGTCATCATCAAAGGCTGATGTTTCATCAGTTCATTTTGACCTTTCCTATATGGCCATAAGGGAGCTGCAACAACTCAGTCAGTGTTTAAGGTTGGAAGGAGGAAGGAATACTACCAGGCTAACTTAGCCATCTAGAATAGCATTACATAGCTACTGCTAGCAAAAGGAGCCTGGAAAAGCTAGCCCTCAGCCCTCTCACAGTATGCCATAATGCCTCAGGGATGCAGACTCTGGGCTCCAGAATAGAACCCTTAAACCTGTTTCTCTTGGTTCTAGCTTCTAACTCTGAAGAAATTTAGCCACTGTTCACCTCACTCTTAATTGCAGGTGTCTTAGTCTTTCCTAATTGGGCTGCTTGCCTCTGATCTGCCCCTTCCACAGTTCATTTCCCATAGGCTAGCCATGATGAACTTAAAAAATAAGGTGTACATTAGATCATACCATGTTCTTGCTTAAGACAACTTTTTTTTAGAAATGCTCACAAGCCACATGACCTAGGAAACTTATGATCTGGCTTCCACAACATCTCAATCTTAATTCTTTATTAAAAACCTATTCATTCTACACTTTATTACCCTCTTACACGCCCTCTTTAGATTTCCTTTCCACATCCTTAATTGTTCCTCTTCTACTTTTGTGCCCCCATTTTTTTGTTGTTGTTGCTGTTTTGTTTTGTTTTGTTTTGTTTTTTAAGGGTTTCTGTGGCTGTCCTGAAACTTGCTCTGTAGACCAAGCTGGCAACGAACTCAGACATCTGCCTGCCCCTGCCTCCCAAGTGCTGGAATTAAAGGCATGTTCCACTACCACCCAGCTTATGAGACAACATTCTATATCTGCCTATATCTATACATTATTTCACCTGATAATAATTGCCAGTACCATCCATTTTCTTGAAAAGTACTATATATATATATATATATATATATATATATATAATTCTATCACTTTACTGGGCATTGAATATAACATCAGTAAAATAAGATTGGATTAAAAAAAAATACACATCATACACAAACACAGATTTCTCATTCCAGCCCCAACTCTGACTGTGCTCACTTGTTGCCCACTAAATTGCCAGAGAACTCTGTGAAACAACTAGCTGAACACACTCTGTGCTTTCTTGATTCCAGACCTTTGCTCATATATTTCCTTTGCCGGGAAGACTCTTGCCTCATCTGCAACACCTGTCATCTCCTGGATTACTCCCACTCAATCTGCATCCTTACTTCGGGCTAACTCTCTTCAGCACTTACAGAGAAAACATTTAATTGGGGCAGCTTGCTTACAGTTTCAGAGGTTCAGTCCATTATCAAGACGAGGAGTATGGTTACATACAGGCAGACATGGTACTTCAGGAGTAGCTGAGAGTCCTACATCTTGCAGGCAACAAGAAGTCAACTGACTTACTGGGTGGTATACTGGGCACAGGAAACCTGAAAGCCTGCCCCCGCGGTTACACACTTCCTCCAGCAAGGCCATATCCACCCCCAACAGAGCCACACTTCCTAATAGTGCTAGTCCGTATGAGATTATGGGGGGCCGATTACATTCAAACTACCATAATTAAACACTGCATGTGGGCAGGAATTGCATGTGTTTCCTTCTGTATGTAAGTAACCCTAGTACTGGACATACTGTGAGAGCACATAAATATTTGTTGAATGACTCAGTAAAAGACATCTTTGTTTTGCTTTTGTTTGTTTTCCAAGACAGAGTTTCTCTGTGTAACATCCCTGGACTCTATCTGTAGGCCAGGCTGGCTTCAAACTCCCAGAGACTCAGCAGCTTCTGCCTCCTGAGGGTGATGAAAGGTGTGTCCCCATTCTCAGCACTTGTTTTTTAAGGGAGGAGGGCTTGGTGCCTGTGATAAATTACTACAATGCAAGGGGTTTTGTGTCTGGTTTCCTGCTTCACTGGGAGTTATAGATTTGGTTCCTAATTTCATCAACTATGCTCTATTGAATTAAAAATTTTTTTCCATGGGGCTGGAGAGATGGCTCAGAGGTTAAGTGCACTGACTGTTCTTTCAGAGGTCATGAGTTCAATTCCCAGCAACCACATGATGGCTCACAACCATCTATAATGAGATCTGGTGCCCTCTTCAGGTCTGCAGGCAGAACACTGCAGACATAATAAATAAGTCTAAAAAAAAAAAAAAAAAAAAAAAAAAAAAAGCAGAGAGATAGTACATATTGTTGGGGGACGGGACGAGCATACGCTAGTGATGTTAGGGCCACAGGGCTACCTCGCCTTGGGACTGTGCTGGCAAATTGAATACTGTCTGGGAGCGAAGACCCGTCAGACCGATTGGATGAGGGGCAATGGAGGTGGGTCGCATGTGGGCGGGTCTTCATATGCGTGTTTGGGAAGTTCCAAAGACTGGGTCCCTGGACTTTTGAATAAACCTGGGGAGAATGGAAAGTCAAAAAAAAAATTTTTTTTATACCTATTGTGTGTGTGTGTGTGTGTGTGTGTGTGTGTGTGTGTGTGTGTGTGTGTGTGTTGGGGAGTGCACAAACACACAAGTATCATAATATACAGTGGGAATCACAGTTCAACTTGCAGGGGTCATTTTTCTCATTCCACTATTTGGGACCTGGGGATCCAACTCATGTCCTCAAGGTTGGCAGCAAGAGCCTTTACTCACTGACCCATCTCACTGGCTCCTGTGTTATATTTTTTCAGTGGTATTTGTCTTCCTGTTCAAAAGACTAAGTCATTTGAACTTATTTACTTACTTCTTTATTGCGCTAATCAGCTAAATTTTTTCACCTCCATCTTTTCTTTTTCTAGTTAAAGACATTAAATCATCAATACAGTAAGTCACTAGGTATAAATTGGAATTATCTCAGGCATGTTGGTCAGATAATCTCAGTGGAACTGTGTCTTTTAAGTATTGTTCATGACTCAGTAAAAGAAGTTTTGTTGCTTTTTTAATCTTCTGCAAAAATTTGTAAGGGAGGAGAACTTGATGCCTATGATAAATTATATGCATGGAGTCTTGCTGTGTCTGTTTCCTGTCCTTTAAAATCTGAGGCTTTTCTAGACATTGTTGCGCATGCTTTTAGTCCCGGAGCTGGGAGGCAGAGCTCTGTGAGTGATGACAGCCTGGCCCTCACAGGAAGTTCCACCCCACAGGGCTACGTAATATACATACATACATACATACATACATACATACATACATACATATTATGGTTCTATGGGGGAAATGACTTCACAGGTTTAAAATTTAATTTTTCCTCCTTTCTATTGCCTTTTATCTCTTATCTTTGCTCATTTTTTAATCTCCTCCCTCTTTCTCTTCGAAGTCATCCAGTTGCTGTTAATCACATATTGCCCATTGCAACTCAGTTACCTTTTCTCTGTCCTTGTCCATCAGTTTCAGGAGTCTGTGTTTCATGTGCCAACTACTGCAGTCCGCCTTGCCCTTTCTCTCCAGACTTCACCTATCGTATGAGCTAAGTAAACCGTGTCCTAACCCTGCCTGTAGTGTGACCCCCCCCCCCAAAGCATAAATTCCCACTCCTTATCCTGACATTCACAGACATGAGCAGCCATCTTCAGTGGCCACTGCTTTCCTTTACAAATCCGATCAAACCAAATCAAGCCTGTAGCCATGCTAATCACACTCTTGCTGCAGTTTCTGTGTTTACATCACCTCCTGTGCCATAGAAGTGTCCTTCTCCTCTTTATTACTCATACTTATTGTGCAAAGCCCAATTTAAACCTTTCCAAAGTCAAGCTAACCCTTCCTCACTTCTCTTTTGTCTTGGGTTTTTCACTTATGTATTTATTTATTGCCTTAGTTTCTTATTACAAATAATAAAGGCACACATGGCCATGCTTGAGAGAAAGAAAGAATTGTTTCTCCTAGCTTATAGCTTGGAAAGAAAGGATTCTTTTCCCTGGCAGCATGATGTGTTAGGAAAAGCCTAGGCTTTAACATCAGGTTTCGTTGTCTTCAAAGCTTCATTTTACCCCTTGATTGCAACATGACCTTGGAATAGTAACTTCACCTCTTCCATCAACTTCTCATGTGAGAGTAATAATATACACCTTCCAGGAGACAATGTGAGCTATAGAGAAGGCAGTATATATGGAAACTTCAAGTACCCGGTACATACATAGCAAGAGAGCACTTGGTGCGTTCTAATTGGGTGGTTCCTCACTGAGAGCTGTGTTGTTGAAGGGAGAGACTTCTGTAGGTTAACTTTCTCCAAGTATTTTAAAGTGTGAAGTATATTATTTCAGTCACGGTGAATGTATGTATACTTCATTAGGCATCTCTGTATTCTCTATCTGAAGAAGCATAGATGATTACATCTTTTTTGTTGACCAAGAGCTAGAGTTCAGAATGTTGAAGGAGAAAGGGAAGACAAACAAAATCGGGTGTTTGAAGAAGAGAGTCCGGGCAATATCTGCCCATCTTTAAGCTGTCAACTTAAATGATTTTAGTTAGGCTTTGTGGTTCCTAAATATTACTCATACTAAGAATTAAATACAGGCATTAGAGACTGGTGAGGTGGCTCAGTGGGGAAAGGCACTTGCTGCACAGGTCTGTGGACCGGAATTTGATCACCAGAACCCATGTCAAAGGCTGGATGTGATCCCAGCACTACTGTGACTAAATAGGAGGCGGAGACAGGAGAATGATGCAGAAGCTGGCAGGCCAGCTAGTCTGGAGTATGCAGCTAGGCAGAAACAACAGGAGAGACCCTGCCTCAAAACAAAGTAGAACAACAGAAGTGCTCACTCCTGAAAGTTGTCCTCTAACCTCCACTTACGTGCGCTCACATTACACACTCACCATAGACAGACAGATGGACACACACACACAGGATAAAAATAGATGTTTAAATACAGGTATTATAAAAGTGAGTTATCAGGTAGGCATGGGAAGCAGACATGGAATCCCCAGAGCAGAATGTCTAGCCAGACTAACTGAAGTGATGATGAGAGGTTCTGAGAGACCCTGCTAAATAAAGTATATCAGAAGGGCTGCTGTTGAGAAAGACAGTCAACGTCAACCTCAGGCCTCCATGTACCTATGCACACATAAACTATGTGTACATGCAAACACATGCACTTGCACACATATACAGAATCAGGGAAAAGAGGAGATTTAGGATGAGCTCTTTAAGGTAAAGACAGGATATGGAATTTAAGAAAGGAACATCAGTTTTTCTTTGCCTTCAGAAATATAGGGACTAGAGAGATGACTCAGCAGTTAGGAGCACTTACTGCTCTCCAAGAGGACCTGAGTTTGGTTCCCAGCACCCACATGGTGGCTCAGAATCAGCCTTCCTTTACTGTAGTTCCAGAGGATCCAACCCTATCTTCTGTCCTCTACAGGTGCCAGGCATACATGTGACATACATATATACATGCAGGCAAAACACTAACATACATAAATGAAGCAAATGTTTTTTAAATTATGTAGTTAAATATATGTGTGTGTGTGTATATATATATATATATTCTTTTTGTTTTATATTGCTTTTAGAAAAAGAATAAAATCCTTACTTATAAATACATATTAAAATATGACTTTCAGTGTGGTGGCATGTGCCTATTTTCCCAGCTGTCTAGAATGCCGAGGCAGGAAGATCACTTGAGCCCTAGTGCTTCAAGACTAACATAGGCAGCATAGGGAGTCCTGTTGCCACACCCCAAGTAACTAATGTACACAACTAATGTGATGTTCTCTAAGCAATAATTACTTCTGTAACTTTGGTGAGTTTTAAATATATACCAGTGTTCTCAAAAATAGAGGCTAGAAATTATTGTAGTTTAAAAGGCAAGGTAGTTACCAGATATTAATAGCATGAAAGGTTAACTTTAATGAATTATAAGGTAAGGACATTTAGGTTTTGATCTGCGAAGCTGAGTGTACCAAGACTTTATGCAAAATAGTTAACAGAGCCATCTATCAATTAGAATATGAAAACCAGGGAGGGAACTGGAGGACAGCTCTATAGTTAAGAGCACTGGCTGCTTTTCCAGAGGACTGACTGGGTTTCAGTTCCCAGCACCCAAACAGCAGTCAATAACCATTTGTAACTCCAGAGGATTCAACACCCTCTTCTGGCTTCTCTGGGCAATAGGCATGCACATAATACACATGCTATACATGTAGGCAAATGCTCATACACACAAAATAAAAAAAAGAAAGCCCTCTGGGCTGCTTAGAGGTGATGTGTGCCAAGAAGTCATGGGTCCTGCCCCAAGTACCGAGAGGAAAAACAAAACTTTTGGACATAACATGTGTTTTCCATTGTCTTAAGTGCTAACAATCACTGTGGGGCTTCTTTGTTGTCTGCTTCTGCAGTTCTAGGATGTAGTAAGGGCCTTATGCGTGCTAGCTTAGCTACATCTGCAGCCCCAGTGTTCCTCCATCAAATTATTTCAGCAATTCTAACAACTTAAGCATATCTACTCACTGAATCGTGAGGAATTTGGGACAACGCTTTAAATAGACAAACACATGTGCAGGGGCTGGAAAGATTGCTCAGTGGTTAAGAGCACTGGCTGCTCTTCCAGAGGTCCTGAGTTCAATTCCCAGCAACTGCATGGTGGCTCACAACCAACTATAGTGAGAACTGGCACCCTCTTCTGTCCTGCAGGCACACATGGAGGCAGAATACTATATACATAATAAATATTAAACACACACACACACACACACACACACACACACACACACGCCCCAGTGGGTGTAGTATGTTTGAGTTTGAGTGCCTTTGATAACTGGAACAGAGCAATTTAGCAAATAATTAGTTTCATCAGTTTGATTGTGCCTGCTGTTGAGTATTCTGAATTTACCTAGATAATTCATTATTGACATGAGTATCAGCCCAAAACAGAACTGAACCGATTTCCATATTACTTAAACAGCCATTAAAATAGTCTATACTTTTATTTGGGGTGTATGGGTGAACCTATGGCTGTCTGCTCATGGGACATACATTTTGCCAATGACCTTCACTCCCAGCCTGAGGATTTGTAAATGTTTTTTTTTTATTTGTTTTGTTTTCTCTTTGATAGACTTATGTTCGCTATTTTCAAACATGTAATAACGTACATGTTTTAAAGCCAAAATGTGTGTGTTCCTTCGGTTATCCTTTGCTCAAATACAGTCAGCCACATCTCTCCCTGAGAACAGCAGCTGGTGAGTACACTCCCCAAATAGCATGCCAAATAATGTTATCTTTATTGACTCTTTTTCTTAGTAACCAAAGACTTCTGGAAGTAAAAAAGTTGAGCCTGTATTTCTAGCATTACTCTCCCTGCCTCTGTCCATTTCTTCTTCTCTTTCCCACTCCACCCCACTGTTCCCCTTAATGCTGGTCGTTCTCCAGTCGGGACTGGGTTATACCCGGTCATTTGTTCTTTAATGTCTGGTTTTCTAGGTGCAATCATTAGCACTGATGTGACCTTCTCAGTTAAGGTAAATTGCTGACTTAATAGAGGCATCTTTATGTCCTTGTGCACAGCCATCCTGTTTGTGAGGTGAAACTTAATCTGCTGTTATGATGGCATGATATAATTAATCACCCTGACTGTTCCTGAATAGAGAGTTCTCTGGCTTTTACCTACTCACCTTTCTCCCAGATACCAGCCTCTGTAAATAATTTGAGGAAGTATTAGATTTGGCAATGGCATAGGAGCTTTTTTCTGCTGATCTATTGAGAACCCTGATAGAGAATCCTAGATTTCATTATGTACTTAAGCATTTTTGTAGACACAAGGGTCCTGGCAATGGAAAGCAGAGAAATTGTAGGCAGATTCTGCCTGCTTTTTCATGCTTTTATATGCTGTCCTTAATTGTCTCAGACATTCACCACTGTTTTTAAAAAGATTTGTATCTATTTATATATGCGCACATATAAGTACACATACATACAATATAGACGTGTTTTAACCCTAGCACCACATATACAATATGTATAGTAATTTATTTTGGCAATTGTATGGGTGGAAAGTGTGTGTGTGTGTGTGTGTGTGTGTGCAAGTGTGCGTGCTCAAACATATGTGTGGTGCCAAATAATAAAACCCAGGGTGTCACACAAACCTTCTTCTGCTATACTCACTCTGCTCAAGCCAAGATTACCATTTTCTAACCCTGATCACTTGTTACTTCCCAGAGAAAGTAGAGGCCACTGCAGGAGGAACAGCAACTTCCTGCTTTGTCCTCTAAATACTTCTCATGAACTCCAGGTCTATCTGTTTATCAATTGCAGGTTATGTGGACTACTGTGTAGTACTGGTTTGTTTTGAGACAGGGTTTCTCTGTGTAGCCCTGGTTGTCCTGGAACTCACTCTGTAGATCAGGCCAGCCTCAGACTCACAGAGATCTACCTGCCTCTGCCTCCTGAGTGCTGGGATTACAAGTGTGCACCACCACTGCCCAGCTTCCTGTTTATTCATTATTAGCTGCGTAACACTGAGAAAGTGGCTCATCTCTTTCATCATCTGGAAAATGAGCGTAACCATAGTATTTAATTCAATTGTGCTGCTGTGAGCATCCATTCAGGAAGTATGATCACCTGTGTGCAAGGCAAATAGATCTTTACATTGGACACTTTAAACAAAATAGGGTGTATGTTTACTTACTTCTGTCCTGCCACTCGACATTTTTTTTTTCCTGCGTAATGGAGAGAGGAAAGAAAAGTCTTAGGAATGATTTGGCAGAACATAATTTGGACATATTAGAAATGTTTAGTGGGCTGGAGAGATGGCTCAGTGGTTAAGAGCTCTGGCTGCTCTTCCAGAGGTCCTGAGTTCAATGCCCATTATAGATGGTTGCCACCACCTATAATGAGATATGGTGCCCTCTTCTGGCCTACAGGCATATATACAGGCAGAACACTGCATAAATAAATCTTTAAAAAGAAAGAAATGTTTTAAACATGGTGGCACACACCTGTAATCCCAGCACCCAGGAGGCAGAGGCAGGTGGATCTCTGTGAGTTCAAAGCTAGCCTGATCTACAGTGTTCTAGGGCAGCCAGGGCTACACAGTGAGACTCTGTCTTAAAAGAGCAAGCAACAATAACAAACAAACAAAACCTAAAAAGAGGAAAGAGGAAAAGAACACTTTTCCAAGGCTGCTAGATAAGTTGCTGCCTGGTTGTAGTCTAAGTATCAAGTATCAAGGAAGAGAGCTAGTTGAGTGCAGGCCTTTTGTTGTACATCAGTATTGTTTCAAACTGTCAGAAACTTCTTAGGAGAGACATTAGAACCTATCAAAGAGCATTATTTGGGAAGTAAAAAAGTTCGGTGGCAGTGAATCTGTGTCTTGGAGTAACTTCTGCAACGCTTTAGTGGTTATGCCTTTTAAAGTTATGAAATGTTGGGGATTTTTAGTTTATTGGGTTTTGTTTTGGTTTTTTGTTTGTTTGTTTGGTTGGTTGGTTTGGTATGGTTGTCTATAGAATGGAACAATTTCTGCCTCTACTTGAGAACATATTCTAATTTTAGAAATAAAAGTAGCTATTGGTAATACATATTTAATGATATAATTTCCCATTTATTTTTGAAGTGCTGCAGGGACAGGTTGTTCAATTCAAACTCTCTGACATTGGAGAAGGGATTCGAGAAGTAACTATTAAAGAATGGTAAGTTAGTCTCAAAATAATTTTACACCAATGTAAAATTAATTGAATATGTAAAAAGTGAGACTCAAATTGGGAAACTTCTTTACTGATATGCTAGTAGCAGCAGTTATTTCTCAAGTCTCTTTCTTTGATGTGATTTATTAATGACTGTTATTTTATTTTACGTGCACATACATCTGTGTGTCATGTGCCCTCAAAGGCAGGAACTGGAGGTAAAGATGGTTGTGAGCCACCATGTGGGTGCCAAAAATTGAACCCAGGGTCCTTAACGATGGAGCCATCTCTCTAGTCTGTTTCTTTCTCTTTAAAGTCCTTTTACTGTCTATTCTTTGCTTCAGCTAAAAAGAGATTGCTTTCTAAGAGATTACAAGTTTATATAAAACCAGGCAGTGCAATAATCAAACCCAGTGTAGCGAGATTACAAACTAGGCACCTCTGAGTTACACCCAGCCCTCATGATTTTAGAAGAATCTAATGCATGAACTCACAATTTCCTCACTAATATCTTGAAACAAATCCTATCGTCTAACTCTCTACCATACTGAAGATGGTTTACAGTAAAAAGACTTGGTTCATGTTACTTGACATACCTTGTCTGTAGGCTTACAAAATACTTTACCCAAAAGGCACAAATCAAAAAATCCTCCTGAAAATGTAAAAGATTAGGACTGGAGAGATGACTTAGTGGTTAAGAGCATGAACTGCTCTTCCAAAGAATCTGAGTTCAATTCCTGGCACCTACATTTGGTAGCTCACAACTGTCTGTGACTTCACCTGTAGGGGAATCCTACACCACTGCCTCATACTTACATATTTACACTCCCCTGTCCCAATTAAAACAAAAACTTTAAAATTATATAATATAGATATGAATAGATGCTCAGAACAAAAGGAAGAAATCCTCTACTGTCTTTGACATTCTCCATCCTTTTGTGTCTTTCTTCTTTAGGGGAAAAAAAAAAAATCCCTCTTGGCAGTGAACTAAGTTTTAAGGGTTTTTAGAAGTAGCAGTTATGATGGTTAATGAGATTTCTCCCCACAATTCTTTATTTTTTGATAGGGTTTTGCTCTATAACCCAAGCTAGCCTCAAACTTGCCATCGTTCTGTCTCAGCCTCCTGTGTCCTCAATGCTGGGATATTGGTTGTTCCGTTGCGCTTGGCTCAAATATTCTTTAGAAAGCTGGACTGAGGCCGGTGAGTGTCAGTTCCTCTACTTGCATTCCTGACTTGGTAAGCAGAGGATTTCAGTAAGCACCCATCCTTACATTGTCTTCCTTGACACTGTATTACTGAGGCAAGCCATGGACTCAGGAGAGCCTGTCCTCTGTTGAGCCGCTGTCCCTTGTGGTGTCGAATCAGCTCACAGCGGTGGCTGTTTACACAATTAAATGTAATATGTAGGAAATGTCTTACCTCTCCGAAGGACTGTGTGCATTTGACTTAATGATGCCTTTACTTCAAGACCAAGCTTTCTTCTAGATGAAAATACAATGTAACTTAATTTCTATCTCATTAATTTTGTAGATCCATGTGCTTAGTAAAGGGGTTAAGGCTCTTAGAAGAGGAAATTATTTTTTTTTCTAATGAGAATCTTAAGGCCAGGCCTGCTTTTCTCAGCTACTTTGGAAGGTGAGGCTGGAGGATCTCAAGTCTGAGGTAAGCCTGCACTAAACAGAGAGAATCTATTCCCCTCGTGCCAAATTTAATAGTTTAGTTTTCATTTTTGAAATGGGGGTATTTTGATATGTAGCCTAGGCTGACCTTGGATTTATGATGCTCCTGCCTCTGTCTCTTGAGTGATGGGACCACCACTGTGCAATGCCTGGCTCTCAAACTTTCTTTCTTTTTAATTTTTTTTATTCATTTATTTTTTACATTCCAATCCCAGTTCCCCCTCCTTTCTCTCCTCCTGCTCCCCCACAACCTCACCCCCACCTTCCATCTGCTCCTCAGAGAGGCTAAGGCCTCCCCTAGAAGTCTAATAAGTCTGTCCCATCATCTCTCAAACTTTCTTAAATGACAAATATGTCGCATGTTTCCCATGAGTTCTTTAAGATTACTAAGACCTTTCTTGACTAGTGTTTGTTCTCTAACTTAATATTTATAAATGACTCAAGAAAAAAAAATATATGTATTATGTTATACTTAAAAAATGCTTAAAATAGAATGTTTCCTGTAGAATAGTATACCCTACACTAATAATGTGAGCAATTAAGAGGCTGAAGCAGGAGGATCACTCTGAGTTTGAGGCCAGCCTCAGCTGCATAGGAGGACCCAGGAGAGAGAGAATATTATCCATACAATTGGATCACTTAAACAAATCCATTCTGTTAATGGTTGCCTTTTTTTTTTTTTTTTTTTTTTTTTTTAACCATTTCTATTTTGTGTAATTACTGACAAGGTAAGTATTTTTTGTTTTGGGTTTTTTTTTTTTTTTTGGTCTTGCCATTTTGTTGATGTGTTTGTGGTTATGTATTTTTTCCATCACTGCCTTCTTTTGTGTCACTTAGATATTTCTAGCATATGTGCACAAGAGTACGAATGTTGTCAGGGTAGGAGTCACCAGAGAACCCTGGAGCTGGAGTTACGGGTGGTTATGAGCCACCTGATATAGACTGGGAACCAAACGTGGGTCCTCTTAACCACTGAACCATCTCTCCAATTCCTTCCTAATTTCCTATGAATAGTTTTGCTAGACTTAACGGTGTCTCCCTATCTAGTTGGGTGTTGGGATTTTGTTGGATGGTCTTTGGCTCTTGGAGTGAGCATTGTCAGCACTTAAACTATTTATACACAGACTTATGTATATCATAGTTTTAGGGTTTTGTTTGTTTGTTTGTTTTAAGGTAGGTAGTTAATAGTATGATTCCTTGTGGCCTTTTCAGATACCCTTATTTTTATTTTGCCTTCCTCTCTTTTCCTTTTGTATCAGATTTAAAGAATGAACAGGTTTTAAGAAATAACAGCAATAACGACAACAATGATGATGTCTTCAACATGCATCCTTTGTGATTTTAACTCCTTTTCCCTCCCACCTCCCGAATTAGTGTCCTCAATTTTTCCTACTATTCCCCTTTCTCCCTGATTTTTTGCTTCCTGACTCTCTCGCCCCAGGAATGGTCCCTTTTCAAAACTCTGCTGGTATCTGTAGTTACTCCACAATATGTACTCTCATCTGAATATTTGGGACTTGGAGCCTCAGACCCAAGAGAACATATGTTATTTGTCTTTCTGTGTCTGGTTTACCTTAGTCAATATAATATTTTCTAGTTCCATCCATTTACCCGCGAAGCTCATGATTTCATTTTTCTTTACAGCTGAAGAATAGTATTCCATAGTGTATATGTACCACATTTTCATTATCCTTCCATCACATGAAGGACAATTAAGTTGTTTCCCTTTCCTAGCTATTGTGAAGAGAGCAACCATCAGCTATCGGCATGCTGAGCAAGTAACTGTGAAGGAGGATGTTGACCCCTTTGGGCATATGCCAAGGAGTAGTGTGTCTGGGTCATATGGTAGATTTACTTCTAGCTTCTTGAAAATTCTCCACAGATTTGAGATTTCAAAGTGGCTGAACCAGTTTTCAATCCCACCAATAGTGAATGAGGATTCCTTTTCTCATACTCCTTCCAACATTTGTTGACAATTGTTTTGTTGATTTTTGCCTTCTGACTCAGCTATCTGTGCACAGGTTTGTGCTACCTTACTCAGCTTTTTTGGTTTTTTGAGATAGGGTTTCTATGTATAACAGCCCTGGCTGTCCTGGAACTCACTTTGTAGACCACACTGGCCTCAAACTCACAGAGATCTGCCTATCCCTGCTGGGATCAAAGGTATGTGCTGCCACTCCTGCTACCGCCACCATCCGCTTATGTTCAGCCTCTTAAACCATCGTTCCTGACACTTTCCCTTCCTTTCCTATAGAGATACCGACATGTGTGTTCCTATGCTTTATGACATTGTCTCAGAGGTCTCTGAGCCCGATTCTTTTTCCCTTTGCCGTCCTCATACCTCAACTGACTGATGCTCAGAGTCACTGATTCTTTTACCAAAAAATAATCTGCTGTTCTACCCTTGTAGTAAATTTTCATTTTAGTCCATCTTTAACTGCAAAATTTGGCGTGTTTTGTCATGTATCTATTTGTGCTGCTATTTTGCTATTTTCTGTTTAGCAGGGCATTATTTTCCCATACTTCCTCCAATACTGAGACATTATTTTAGTTCTTTGTTCCTTAAGGCCACAGCTGTACTAGGCGAAAGAGGATGGCACTAGAACAAGTTAAAATCACAAAGGATGCATGTTGAAGACATTGTCATTGTTGTCGTTATTGCTGTTATTTATTTCTAAAAACTGTTCCTTCTTTAAGTCTGATAAAGAGTTAGTGCAGGTTGAATATCTTTATCTGAAACATTTGGTACCAAAACTACTTCAGATTTTGTATTGTAGATTAGAGAACACTTGCTTAGTCTTTATCACTTGATCATTCAGCATTCGAGGTTTGAGCATCACTGTTTGAACAGAAAACATTTCAGTTTTTATATTTTCTAACTAGGGATGCTCATTATATCATATTATACAAGAGGAAATACCATTTTACTTTCTCAAAAAAGCAGAAAACCTGAATTAAACCTGGAGGTACAGGGTTTAGTTTTTTTGTTTTTGTTTTTTGTTTGTTTGTTTTTGTTTTTTGTTTTTGTCTTTTTCAAGACAGGGTTTCTCTGTTTTGCTTTGGAGCCTGTCCTGGAACTAGCTCAGTAGACCAGGCTGGCCTGGAACTCACAGAGATCCACCTGCCTTTGCCTCCCGAGTGCTGGGATTAAGGTGTGCACCACCAACACCTGGCTCTAGTTTTGGTTTTTAATTTTAGCATTTGTTAGGGGTTTGTCAAAGAAACTCTGAAAGCCATTTTCATCTTTTCTAAAACATTTCTTTGTGCACCATCTGGGCATCTGTGCTGGGCTAATGGCTTTTAATGTACATTGCAGCATTTACATGAACTTGCAAGGATGACTTGTAATCATAACTATTCACGTAAACATGTCCTTGTCTCTTCCTTCCAGGTATGTAAAAGAAGGAGATACTGTGTCTCAGTTTGACAGCATCTGTGAAGTTCAAAGTGACAAGGCCTCTGTCACCATCACCAGCCGCTATGATGGTGTCATTAAGAGACTCTATTACAATCTGGACGATATTGCGTATGTGGGGAAGCCACTGATAGACATTGAAACAGAAGCTTTAAAGGGTACATGTGTTTTGCTGCATTTTTCACTTCTGTCCTGTTGTTGTGGTGGTTAGTCCTTTCTGGGTGTGGTGATCCCAGAGCTTGTGTGGTGGAAGCAGGAGGATTGCAAATTTGAAGCCAGTTCATTCAAGCTACTTACCCTGGGCTACAGAGAAACTCTGTTTCAAAGATAGGATAATTCTAACTCACAGAACCTGGGCTGGGGATGTAGAACAGCAGAAAGGTAGGAAAATTGTGAAGATTTTCTGTGATATCTGATTATCTTTAGATCCGACACCACAGCCCAAAAAAAAAAAAAAACCCTGTACAGTAAGACCATCCGTCTGAATGTCTGACTTCTGGAAACTTCATGTTCAAGGAAGCAAGAAGCTCTGTTAGGGACTAAAGATTGAAGTCCACAACATCGGTCAGTAAGAACACAAACCAGAGTCTAGAAAAGTTGAACCTAACATAGTAGGTTCAGTTTCTCAGATCCGGAATCCTCACTGGCTTGGCCTCTGGCTGGCTGGCCAATGGTAACAGACACATCATGGCAGGATTTTGTGTAGGGGCAAGAGTCACCTCTGTGAACCAAGAGGAGAGGGAGGGCTTCAGGGTTTCAGGAGAGAGAGAGCACACCTCTAGGTCCTAAGGACAACTCACTTGGCCCTGGTTCCTAAAAATTCCACAGCACTTCTCAGTACTCCCACCCCCAGGATAAAGTCTCTAGTCACAGGGCTGGAGGGGGTTTGGGGGGAGACACTCAAACCATAGCACACTGACACATATTTATATTTTATCTATAATACACCTGTGCATTTCTCACTGATGGTGGCCATGAAAGCCACGCTGCCTCAGAGAGAAGAGAAAGAAAATCAATGAAAACGAGTGATTGGTAGAATTAGGAGTCATGGTGCTTACAAGTAGATGTGACAAAGGGAATTTATTATGAGAACCAAACAGAGGGAAACAGAAACGTTAGGCAGTCCCTTCAGTGGAAGAGAGCTAACTTTCTGTCCCAGAAGCTGATCAAACTCATGGTCTTGAGAAATGGCTTCAGCATCAGGCTAGGAGAACAGAGGGTTCTGTGGTAGCGACTGTGGAGATGGCCAAGTGGGTCAAACGCTTCCATATAAGCCCAGGGACCTGAGTTTGGATCCCCAGCATCCGTGAAAAAGCTGGATATGGCAGAGTGTATCTGTGACCCTAGTGCAGGTGAGAACAGAGAGGCCAGGAGCCCACTGGCCAGCCTGTTCACCTGCAAAGGGGAAGCCCAGGTTCAGTGAGAGACCCTTTCTCAAAAACTAAGGTGGACAAATGATTGACAAAGACATCTGACATTGTCCCCCGGCCTTTGTATATGCATCCATGAGCAGGAGTCATGTATACACAGTAAAAACTAGGGCTGGTGTGGTGGTACACACCTTTATTCTTAGCACTCGGGAAATAAGAGAGATCTCTCTGAGTTCCAGGCCAGCCAAGGCTACTTGAGACCCTGTCTCAAAACAAACAACCCAGTAAGCATTAAAAACTATTTTAAAATACATCTATAATGGGATTCATAAGGCAGCATCTGTTATATGAGAAATATTGAATAAAGACATAAGTAGTCTACTTCAGAAGTCAGGAAGGAGTGTTTGAACAGTATTGTTTACATAATAATAATATCTAATATTGTAATCACTTTTTTCCCCAGAATCACATTTCTGGTAGTGTGAATTAGAATGTGCACTGTAGGCTCACATATTTGAATGCTTAGTCACCTGGGAGTGTAACTCTTTGATAGGATTAGGAACTATGGCTTTGTTGGAGGAAGTGTGTCACTGGGGGTGGGCTTTGAGGTTTTAAAAGCCTATGCCAGGCCCAGTCTCCCTATCTGCTTGCAGATCAGGATGTAGCTTTCAGCTACTGCTCTAGCTCTATGTGTGACTGTCATGATACTGTGAGTCAGCCCCAATTAAATACTTTCTATTATGAGACACCTTGGTCATGGTGTCTCTTCACAGCAATAGAACACCGACTAAGACGTTTTAGGTTGTTTATGTTTCTCTTCCAGGAATTCTAATTTTAAAAGAGAAACAAATTAAGAGAAGAGAATAGAAATAAAGAAACAGACCCAACAAATATATTTATTTAGGTATGTCATTGAATAGTAACAGAGATAAATTAGGAAACGTCTGATGATCAATAACAACCTGTAACTAATCAGTGGTTGCCTGTGGTGGGGTGAGGAGAAGTGAGAAGGGTTGGGAAATACTACCAAGAAGTTAAAGGGGGCACATACATATATACATACATACATACATACATACATACATACATACATACATATATTTAATTTATTGTATGTGTGTATATGCATGCCAGCATGCACATGCAGCAATCTGAGAAAAACTTTGGGGAGTTGGATTTCTCCTTCCATGATGTAGATTCTGGGGATAAATTCAGATTGTCAGGGTTATGAACAGGTACCTTGTTCTGATGAGCCATCTTGTTGGTCCCTGGACTTTTTTTTGTTTTTAAGATAGTCTCACTATGTGGCTTTGGCTGGTCTGGAACTCACACCGTAGACCAGGCTGGATGGCTGCTTCCTCCTGAGTGCTGGGATTGAAGTCATATGCCATCATGTCATGCTCTGGACACTTTTGAGGGTGAAAATGTGTCCAAAATCTTGATCATGGTAATGATTCATGGATATATACGTATTTAAATCTTACCAAATTCTCTATTTTATATATGCAGTGTAGTATCTCTATGTCACAGCAACAAAATATCTATTATATCACTATCAAAATTAATGAAATTGGATATCTATGCTAGTTAATTTAGGAACTGTTCCGGACAGCTCTGTTGTCTACTGATTTTATTTTGCATGCATGTGCATCTTTTGCTTTCATACTTTTCCTTTTTTTATAATTTTAATTTTCTTCATGGAACAAAGTCTTTTAAAAGTGTGAGTTACATTACTTACATTTTATATTGCTATATTACCTACACATGCACATTCAGCCACAGAGACCAGAGATATCAAACTCCCAGAAGTGGAGCCACCCAACATGAGTGCTAGGAACTGAAATGCAGTCCTCTACAAAGTAGTACAAGCTCTCAACTATGAGCCATCTCTCCAGCCTCTAATCTAACATTTGGGAAGTAGAAGCAGAAGGACCAGGAGTTCAAGGTCATTCTTAGCTACTTAGTGAATTCAAGACCAGCCTGGGCTTTATAAAACCCTGTCTCAAAAACAAAACACAGTACTGGGTGTTAATATTCTGTCTCTCCCAAACTTCACCTCCAGCACTGAGATTTTGAATGACCTTTGTAGTGCTGGGAATTGAACTCAGGTCTTGTGCATGCCAGGCAAATGTTCTACCACCAAACAAGACCCCCTAGCCCTGTTTTCCCATCTGCAGTAGTCCAGAGTTTTAATCACTAGTGTGTGTTTGTGTGTGTGTGTGTGTGTGTGTGTGTGTGGTATATACTTGCTCATGTATTATTTAGTGTTCATGTGGAGGCCAAAGATTGACAGCAGATATCTTCTTCCATCACTTTCCACCTTAATTTGAGAGAACGTGTCTCTCGCTGAGCCTGGAGCTCATCAGTTCAGTCCTGCTTACTGGGCAATGAGCTCCAGGGATGTTTGCTTCACAGCACTGGGGTTACAGACACACAAGGATCCAAATTTGGGCCTCATGCACAACAAACACCTTACTGACTGGGCCATCTGTCCAGCCCACAGCTAAGCTCTTTGAAGAGATGGCTTTGGACTGAAGTTGTCTAATCTTTTTTCAGATTCAGAAGAAGATGTTGTTGAAACTCCAGCTGTGTCTCATGAAGAACACACTCACCAAGAGATAAAAGGCCAGAAAACACTAGCGACACCTGCCGTTCGTCGTCTGGCGATGGAAAACAACGTAAGTCTTAAAACTGAATTTTGAGATTACATAAAAAGTGTACATTTGTATCTCTGGGTTGAGATGGAGGAGCCAGGTCTTTGAAATGGTTCAAGCTGAAATTAATGAATATGGTTTAATGAATGTGGTTACTATAGTAAAGTGGTCATAGCACAAAAGCCCGTGGGAGGGGGCAGGAGAGATAGCTCTGCTGTTGAGAGCATTTGCTGCTCTTCCAGAGGAGAAGGTTCTGTTCCCAGCATTCTCGGGCTGGGGGTGGAGGGGGACTCACAGTCACCATGTGGGACTCCTGCTTTAGAGCATCTGATACCTCTTCTGGCACCTAGTAACACTTCCAATACATGTGACGTAAATTCACACAAACACACACGCCAATAAAAATAAATCTTAAAAAATAAAAAAAGCACTGGGAAGAAAAGGCATGAACTCAGTGCTTAATGTAAATTGAATAACATGGTGGTGTTTTTATTCTTTCTCAGAGCCCGTAGCAGTAACAGCTACCATTTCTTGAATCTTGTGTCTTGGGGCTGGGAAGATAAGGTGATTTGGGCAGTGAAGTGCTCAGTGCACACATGACTATGATACCCCACTCCCACATAAGAAGCCTAGTGTGGTGGTGCACACATGTAATCTCAGCATTCAGGATGGAGAGGTAGAGGATCTCTGGGACTCACTGGCTTCCAGTCTGCTCTAAATTGGCAAGCTTCAGGTTTAGTAAGACCCTGTCTCAAAAAATGAAGAGGACTGCTCTTGAGAAGTGACACCAGAAGTTGACCTCTGACCTTCACATGCATAGGTGTGTGTGTGTGTGTGTGTGTGTGTGTGTGTGTGTACCCATACTCACATGAACACACTCAAGAGCACATCAAACAGGCAAACACATACATACTGGTATTTTAGTTCAGGTGAACTACAAGCACATTTTAAGAATCCGGGTGCCCGTGACTGAATTCTTAAAGAACCAAGGATCTGTAAAGGGAATGAAAGGCTGGCAAAGGGAAGGGACTAAAAATGGAACAGTCGTGGATGTGGTAACAAAAAGCCTGCCAAACTACACTGTGCTGAGACAAGACTTGTATTGTCTTAGTCCATCTATGTATTAGTCAACTTGCCATAGCTGCAACAAAATACTTGAAACAAACCATCTCATAATAAAAAAGATGTTTAATTTGGCTCTAGTTTCATAGTTTTCAGTTCATGACCACTTGGCCCCTGTGTTTTAGATGTGTGGTAGTGCAGTACATCATGGTAGGAGTACCCAGCAGAGGAAGTTTATTCTCCTCAGAGCTGGGAATTGAAAAGGTCATGCCAAAATCCCCTCTGATGACACACCAGTAGTAACTGGGAAATCTCCCAGTAAACCCCAAGACAAAGTTTCTACCACATCCCAGCACCATCAAATTAGAACCACCTTTTATTTTATTTAGGTTTTGTTTTTATGTATGTTTGCATATTCTTTTTTAAAGATAGGATCTCATTACGTGGTCCGGGTTGGCCTCAAAAATCACTGGCCTAGGCTATCCACATAATCTCTATTCTTCTACCTCAGTATTCAGAGTGCTAGAATTACAGGCATTCATCACCATATCCTGCTGGGCACAAGCCTAGAACACAGACCTTGGGGATACTCCGGATCAAATCATAGCCTACTTTGTGACTATGTGGCGGGTAAAATGCTAGGCAGCATGGCCCTTGACGCTAATACGTACTTCCAGTCTCAGTTAATCTTTCAGATAAGGAACTACTGCTGGGAAAGCAGCCAGGGCGGTTACACAGCTGACAGTGTTCTGGAGCCATAGTTTAATAGAGAGACTGTCGTCTCATCTGTCACTCATTTGTTGCCTCAACAGTCATCACATTTATCATTTTAAACACATGTATGCCAGACACTGTATGCATTATCCATGACTCCTACAATAGCCCTTCAGGTGGTTGGATATAGAAAGGACAGAGAGGTGTGTTGATGTGTCTAAACCCCAAGTAAATAACAGAACTGGATGTTTTAGGAGAGTTCTGCTTACACAGCCTGAGTTATTCCCAACCTAGGCAGCAATGCATAGAATTTCTGAGAAAAGTAGTTATTGCATGGGGAAAAAACAGAAGTTTCTATCATGCACGTATGCAATTGACTCATAAAAATGTTACTATAGTTCCTCCTGCCTGTGAGGACTTATTCAAGGACATACTCTATGATGTGTTCTGCCTTGTGTGCTCATGGACAAACACCAACTGATCTACACTGCTACCCCTTTTTTTTGGGAGGGGGTTTAAGTAGATGCTACATATTCCAGGCTCATCTGGAACTTGCTATTGTAGCCCAGCATGGCTTTAAATTCACAATCCTCCTGCCTCTGCTCCTAAATATTAAGATTATATGCCTGTGTTTCCATGTCTTTGTATCTTTTCTTTTGGATTCATATTTTCATTGTTATTTTATAGTTTTTAAATTTATTCTCTCATATACTGCATCCCAACCGCAGTTTCCCCTCCCTCCACTCCACCTGCATCCACTTCTCTTCCGTTTCCCTTCAGAAAAGAGCAGGTATCATAACAAGGTACAATAAGACCTGAGGCACAAACCCTCTTATCAAGGTTGGGTGAGGCAACCCAGAAGGAGGAAAAGGGTCCCAAGAATAGGTAAAGGAGTCAGAGACGCCCCACTCACTCTGTTAGGGGCCCCACAAATACACCAGCCTACACAACCATAACATGTATGCAGAGGACTTTGCACAGACCAGTGCAGGCTCCGCGTTTGCTGCTTCAGTCTCTGTGAGCTCCTACAAGGCCTGCTCAGTTGGTTCTGTGGGCTGTGTCCTACTGTCCTCAACCCCTCAGGATCTTACAGATCTTCCTCCCCCTCTTCCTCAGGGTCCCCTGAGCTCCAAGGGGAGGGACCCAATGGAGAGCTCCAGTTACGAGCTCTCTCCCCATCTAATGTTTGGCTGCAGGTCTCTACATCTGCTCCCATCAGCTGCCTGACGAGGCCTCTCTGATGACAAATTGGCTGGGCACCCATCTATCACATCCATAATTTTTTTTAAAAAAAAATCAATATATGTTAATTATGCAAAATAGTGGGTTTAGTTTATAAGCAATAAGAATTATGGGAGAAGGTCTGGTGAGATGGCTTAGTAGTTAAGATCCCCAGCTGCTCTTCTAGAGGACCCAGATTTGATCTACAAAATCTGCATGTTAGCTAACAACTCCAGGTCCTAGGGAATCTGAAGTTCTCTTCTGATCTCCTTGGGCAACAGGCACACAAGTGATGTACAGATATATATGTGCAGGCAAGACACACAACAAATAAAGAAATATAAAAGAATTATGATTGAGCAGAGCATGGTGGCACACACCCTTGATCCCATTGCTCAGCAAACAGAGGCATAGTTCCAGACCAGCCAGAACTATACAGTGAGACCCTATCTTAAGAGGGTCGGGGCAAGAAGCAAGGAAGGGTGGATAGATGGATTATGGGAGAGACTTAGAGATTTAAATGGGCAAATGAACAACAGTGTACATAAAAGTGACAACCATTTGCACAGAGATCCTGACGCTTATTTCTCAAAATGATGAAAATGTTGCTTCCTCAGACTAAGTTCTTGGACAAAAGTTTTTAACCTTTAATGGATTACACTCGATTTTTAAATTCTGATGATAGATTTATTTTTTAGCACTAAAATGTGTTATATTTTAGATTAAGCTGAGTGAAGTTGTTGGCTCCGGAAAAGATGGCAGAATACTTAAAGAAGATATTCTCAACTTTTTGGAAAAGCAAACAGGAGCAATATTGCCTCCCTCACCAAAAGCTGAAATAACACCACCTCCACCACAAGCCAAAGATAGGACCTTTCCCACGCCAATATCAAAGCCTCCAGTATTCACAGGCAAAGACAGAACAGAGCCCATAACAGGTATGGTAACAGCAGTAACCTAAAGTGATGCTGATTTGTTTCAGGGAAACCACCTCAGGGGATGTGTGTTCATCGTATCAGATGTTTGTGATTAATTTTTGAGCCAGGGTCTCACCTGGAACTTAATAGGTAGACCAGGCTGGCTTTAGACTCACAGAGATCAGCCTGCCTCTGCTGAAGGAGGCTCCTGCACAGCAGGGGTTCCCTCCCAGACGTGGATCAGGCACAAATCACACCCAAACACCTGTTTTCACAAAGAGATCCTTTATTAAGCAGGGAAGAAAAGTTAAAGCGGCTGCTTTCTGATGCAGGCAGAAAGCAGCAGCAAATGCCCATACAGGTGTCATTTTTAAGAGGAAAGAGGTGGGGGGATGTCTGTTAGAATGTTCTAGGATTTGGTAGTATATCTTGATTAGACATGTTAATTAGGTAAGCCAAAGGGGGCTTTTGATTGCTGGACTTCAATACTTTGATAGCTGGATCTGGGTAGTCAGCCTCAGGAGGAGGAAGTGGACAAATAAGGAAATAGACTTTGGTGGCTAGTTTTAGGAAAGTAACCTAACAGTATTTAGCAAGGCAGAGGGCATTTGGGAGAAGGGCAAGGCCTGTCAGAGCCATATTCTAGTGGGCCAGTGTCCCTTCATCTGCCTCCCAAGTGCAGGAATTAAAGGCGGGCACCACCACTGCCCAGCTTTCAATCCTTACTCACAGAAAAGTTCAAATTCATCATGAAATTATGATGCAGTCCACAGTTTTTTTAAAAAAATTTTTATTGAAAAATAACTTGTTATTGGATTCATATAAAAGGACTGAGTTTCTTCTAGGTTTCCAAAAAGCAATGGTCAAGACCATGTCTGCAGCCTTGAAGATTCCGCACTTCGGCTACTGTGACGAGGTGGACCTTACTGAACTGGTTAAGCTTCGGGAAGAATTGAAGCCTGTTGCTTTGGCTCGTGGAATCAAACTCTCCTTCATGCCCTTCTTCTTAAAGGTGAGTTTGACTCATTCCAAGCGAGGCCTCAGAGGACATGGGCACTTGTTTTGTAAGATGTAGTAGGTTAACAGGTTTATATTAAAATACTACTTCATGGGCTGGAGAGATGGCTCAGAGGTTAAGGGCACTGCCTGCTCTTCCAGAGGTCCTGAGTTCAATTCCCAGCAACTATGAGGTGGCCTTACAACCATCTTCAATGAGATCTGGTATCCTCTTCTGGCCTGAAGGGATGCATGCAGAACCCTGTGTACATAATAAATAAATCTTAAAAAAATACTACTTTAAGTACCATGTTACCAGAATTAGGAAAAAAAAATAGTTCAAACCCACCATCTCTTTGTTTTGTAAGAATTTATTCAATTGAAATCTGTGCTGTGTTTTTATCTTCTTATCTCCTTTTTTTTTTTTTTTTTTTTTTTTTTTGAGAAGGTTTCTCGTGTGGCTTTGGAGCCTATCCTGACACTCTGTAGATCAGGCTGGCCTAGAACTCGGAGAGATTTGCCTGCCTCTGCCTCCCAAGTACTGGGATTAAGGCATGCACCACAATATGTGGATATTTATTTTTTTAAGTGTGTGTGGGTTCATGCAAGTGCCCACAGAAGACAAAGAAGGGTGTCAGTCAGATCCCCTGGAATGAGAGTTACCAGGCAGTTGTGAGTCATCAGGTTGGGTCCTAGGAGCCTCCAAGAGTAGCACACGCTCTTGACCACTGAGCTGTCTCCCCGATTTAAACTAGGAAAAGAATTGTGCCGACAGTAAAGGAAAGCCTTTCATTCTGAAAGGGTCATTGGAAAGTTCGCAGTGGGCATTTATTTCCATGTATTCAGCACATTCTCATAGGGGCCTCTGAGAACCATTTCCAGTGCTGGCTGGGCCTTGGGACCATTAGCTGAGCCTAAGCTACTGGCAGGGTGATTCTCATCAGTGACGCTGCAAAGCATCCACTGTGTCAGGCTTGGGAAAGCAAGCTATAGCTACTCCTTAATTCTCAGAGTATCCCAGACATGCAGATACTACTATCCCACTTTACTCTGAAGAGGCTTCAGAAAGGTTGAGAATCTTGTCACGGACATTAACAAATGGAAAAGCCACATGTCTGGTCTGATCTGGCTTCTCACTCAGCATGGCTCCTCCTGGCCTTTCTTCATTGTCTACCAAGACTAATCACCCATCAATCAAATTGTATCATTTCTGGATTATTTTCAATAGTTTCTACTCAGTGCCTTTAGGATAGTTTCCCAAGTCCTTAGTGTGACGTACAAGTTTCTGCTAACCACCCTCCAGTTTCCTCAAAGCCACCACTCCCTGTTTTAATCACATTGAGCTGTACACATAGTTGCTGTATTACACAATTTCATCTGAAATACCTACCAGGTATCTCTCCCCCCACACTCCTCCCACACCCCCCCCCATTCCCTTTACAAACCCCCTCCCTGCCATTTTGTTTTGTTTGTTGTTTTTGAAACAGAGTTTCACTAGCTAGCCCAGGCTGGCCTGGAACTCAGGCCTACCCCAGCCTTCCAGGTGCTGGGATTTCAGGCATGAGCCATCTCTCCTGACCTCCTTTTTCAAAGATACGTGCATCTTAAATATCAAATCAGTTCAGATAAAGACTACAGAAAGCTCTGTGGCTCTCCAGCGTTAAATATAAAGAAAAGCAGAAGGAAGATTGAAGGGGATAAACAAGGATTTGCACCAGCAGGGTGGGCTCCAGCCCTGCCCTTGACTAGGCCAAGGACACCCGTGGCGCACTGGCCTCTAATGGTCACTTTGAAATCATTATTGTGTATTCTTCCTACACGGAGAAATGGGCTAGCTGCCTTTTTTTGTTGGAATTCCTAGACTATTTTTAACTATTGGCTTGCTTCTCATAAACACGTAAATCTACGTGTTAGTGAGGAAATCACTTGGAATGGAGACATTTTCTTTGGTACTTTGGCAGCCTGTGTGGTTGTTTTCATAAATCCCTTCATGTTTGCAAAAGGCCTGACCACTTTATCGTTTGTTTTTAAACGATTAGGACAACCTAGTTTCACCTTCTTTGGAGATAAGAATGGAAGTGATTAACCCAGCTGTGTGTGGCCTTGAAGTTACTCTGCTTAGATTAAGGGTTCTCTTCCCCTTTCGTTTTCCTGCTCCTTTTGCTTCCAGTCCTGTGGCTGTGTGGGGCAAGGTGCTCATGCTCCGTTATCTTTCTCTTCAACAGGCTGCTTCTTTGGGATTGCTCCAGTTTCCAATCCTCAATGCCTCTGTGGATGAAAACTGCCAGAATATCACCTACAAGGTTGGCCATGCATTGTGAAAACCCTCATTATAATAGAAGATGGTGTACAGTGCTTGTAGGTTAGAAGCCTCTAGAATACTCAAACAATGACCCCTTTTCAGGTGGGAATGAAAGGTATAGCATAAGCCATTAAACTTAAGTGCAATCTGTTAGCTTTGTTATCGCTGTTTAATAATGATTTTGTTCTGGTGTGCAGCCTGCCCTTTTAATGCCCTGTTGATTTTCCATTTAAAATAGTGGAACTATACAAATATGAGTGCTACTCACTCTATTTAGCATCCATCTCAAAAGAATCACCTCTCTCAAGATTAAATTTCTGGAATTTTAAGGATGCTCTCTTAGTTAGGGTTTCCATTGCTGTGAAAGACACCATGACTACGGTAACTCTTATCAAGGAAAACATTCAATTGAGGTGGCAGCTTACAGTTCAGAGGTTTAGTCCATTATCATCATGGCAGGGAGCGTGGTGGCTGGGAGTATGGTGTTGTATAGGTAGTCATGGTAACAGAGATTTCTACATCTTGACTCACAAGCAACAGGAAGTGGTCTGTGACACTGGGCGGTATCTTGAGCATATGAGACCTCAAAGCCAGCCTCCAGAGTGACACACTTCCTCCTCCAACAAGAGCATACCACATTTAACAAGGCCACACCTCTTATTAGTATCACTCCTTTTGGGAGCAATTTTTTTTAAAGTATGTATAGGTAGGAGAATATTCTGCATGTGTGTATATGCCCATAAACGCAGGTGCCTACAGAAGCCAGAGGCATTGGATCACTTGGATCTGGAGTTACAGACTGTCGTGAGCCTCCTGATATGGGTACTAGGAAGTTAATTTGGATCCTCTGGAAGAGTAGCAAGTGCTCTTAACCACTAAGCCATCTCTCTAGCCCCAAAGAGATTAAGTAATAATAATTTTTCAAGTAATACATTTGAATCCAGTTTGAGTGGAGTTCTGTTTGGAGTGCAAGTTTTTTAAGACAGAAGTCTTGCAATGTTGATTCCTAGATTCCTTCCTCATTAGCAAATACTTAGCTAGCAATAAGCTTAAGGGCTGCAGGGAAGAGGCTCTGTGGCAGAGTGCTTACCCAACATCACCAAAACACAAAAACCAAAGGTACGCTTAGGTAATGCAGGCAGTCTCATCAAAGCTATTGTGTTGTGCCTAATATGGTGAATTGTTTTTATCTCAATCTTTCCTAATATAGCTTTTTTTGTTTTATTTGGGTTTTTTTTTTTTTTGAGACAGAGTTTCTCTGTGTAGCCTTGGAGGCTGTCCTGGAACTTGCTCTGTAGACCAGGCTGGCCTCGAACTCACAGAGATCCGCCTGCCTCTGCCCCCTGAGTGCTGGGATTAAAGGCATGCTCCACTTACACCTAGCTCCTAATATAGCTTATTTTAAAAACTTAGAGGAAATAATGGCCCTCAATCCTATGGCCTCAGATACCCCCTGTTCACACTATATTCTTCCATGAAATTCACTTAAGTGACACAAATTTTCCTTTAATTTGCTATTCTCATTTTCATTTAATATATTGTGGATATCATCACATGTCAATAGATGTGATATTGTTATTTATTCAACCAGTGACCTACTGGCAAATATTTTAATTGTTATAAAACTATCTAATGCTGCCCCCTGGTGAGTTCCTTCATTCTTTTGAATTTATTTCCTTAGCATGTTTTTTTTTTTTGTTTGTTTGTTTTTGTTTTTGTTTTTGTAACTATTATACATAACTAGCTTCATGATGGGAGGAGAGAAAGTTCACCTCTGCTTTCACCATGTGGGTTCAGGAGTTTGAACTCAGGTTGGCCGCACATCCGTGCCCTTACCCATAATGGTGTTTCTTCCAAATGATTTCTACTGTGCTCAGTATGGTGCCGGTTTTGTCTTTTGGCTTTTTGAGATATGGTCTTGCCTTGTGGAAGAAGCTAGCTTCAAGTCATCTGTCCTCCTCAGCCTCCTGAATATTGGGATTACAGTGTACCATATGCCTGCCTAGTTTGGTGAAATAGTTTAGTATCTTTGTTCTAGAAGAGAATGGAGTTTATCTTTTCTTTGTCATAAATTTATGTGTTAAAAATTCTACTGGGTAATTTTTATTTCTTAGGCTTCTCACAACATTGGGATAGCAATGGATACTGAGCTGGGGTTAATTGTCCCCAATGTGAAGAATGTTCAGGTCCGCTCTGTGTTTGAGATCGCCATGGAACTGAACCGACTCCAGAAACTGGGTTCTTCCGGTCAGCTCAGTACCACCGATCTTACTGGAGGGACATTTACTCTTTCCAACATTGGAACAGTAAGTCACAGTGTTCAAATTCACGTGTAACCTGCATCTCTGATCATATGCTCAAATAAAATACAACCTATCATCTATTAGGAGTTCCCTGAAAGCTAAATTTTCCCATTCTTCTCAGATTGGTGGAACCTATGCCAAGCCAGTGATATTGCCACCCGAAGTAGCCATCGGGGCCCTGGGAGCAATAACGGTATGTATAGCGAGTAACTGCAAGATGCTTCAGCAAGTTGGAAAGCTGAACGTGAAGAAGGCTCAGCACTGAAGGTTTCCCTCCACTTTCTAGTTTGAGTTTGTGAAGCTTGGCTCGGTATGCCTATTTCCTTCCTTCCTTTCCTTTTTTAATGTGCATTGATGTTTTTGCCATGGGTGCCAGGTCCCCTAGAACTGGAGTTACAGACAGTTGTGAGCTGCCATATGGGTGCTGGAAACTGAACTCAGGACCTCTGGAAGAGCAGCCAGTGCTCTCAACCACGGAGCCATCGCTCCAGCCCCGGTACACCTATGTCTTCCCCTTTTGAATTAGATCAGTGGTCACTTGTACAGTCCCAGCTGGCTGAAATTCTAGATCCTCTTGCCTAGAATTCACCTAATGGGATTACAGGTGTGTGCCACCACACCTGACAAAATGCTGATTTCTTGAAGGAAACTGTATTTTGAACAAGAATCTAGGTGACTCCATAAAAGGATCTGTGGCCATGTTTTAGAACTTTTAGAATAGGATTATTGGGTTTTCTCTCTCTCTCTTTCTCTCTCTCTCCCTCTCTTCCTCTCTCCCTTCTCCCTCTCTCTCTGTATGTGTGCATACATGCACGAGTGTTTCATACGTACACAAGGGATACACACACCATAGCACTTGTGTACAGATCAGAGGACAGCTTCAGAAAACAGTTCTCTCCTACTATATGGGTTCTCAGGTTCAAATTCAGGTGGCGGGGCTTGATGGCAAGCACCTTCATTTGTTGAGCCATCTTGCCAGGTCTTGAAGAAGTGAAAGCTTCAGACATGATCTCCCAAAGGTGGGGGAAATAGGAGGCCGCCTTTTCAGAAGTCCTGGTGGATGCCCACTCGCGGGCAGGGAGGAGGAGTTTCTGGACCTTATACCCCTGTTGCTAGATCTTCATTGCACTCTGAGTGAGGGCAAATTTACCCTTGTTTATTTTTTTTGTATTTTCCATTGCTTCTAGGCCCTTCCCCGATTTGACAAGAAAGGAGAAGTTTATAAAGCACAGATAATGAATGTGAGCTGGTCAGCTGATCACAGGGTCATTGACGGAGCCACGATGTCACGCTTCTCTAACCTGTGGAAATCCTACCTTGAAAACCCAGCATTTATGCTGCTCGATCTGAAATAATGTGAAGTAAGACATCCTTGAATCTTTTGCATTTCCAAAGAGTGCGTGAGGCCGGGCTGTGCCGCCACGTATTCCTGTTACACTTGCGTTAGAAATGATCTGCGTTCCCCGCTTAAGTCTCTAAAGCACAGTATTTACCACTGGCATGGTAGGCTCTTGGCTGAAAATAAACGATGGTGAGATGATTGCCCTGGGGTATCACACTGTGTAGGTGACAGGGTGACTTCTCAATATGGTGCTGAGATCTTTGTGTCAATCAGTTGAAACAGGCAACAAAACAAAATTAATGTTACTAAAAGGCAAGTAGCAATATACACATGGTATTTGCCATGTTTCTTTCTGTTTTTAATTTTTTAACTGACTTTTTTAAGTGAAACTTTTAAATTCTGTTTCATTGGGGAAAGGAATTTATATACCAGTGTTTTCCATTTCCCTACAATCGTGGTAACGGTTCCACAAAATAAGTGCAATTCTGATTATCTTTGTAGATTATCTTTGTACTTTTGCCTTATGTGTTAAGTATTGTCTATAAATGTCTTAACGCTGAAATTAGCACTATTTAAAGGGGGAATTATAATCTGGTCTTAACTATAGTTTCATAACCAGTAAAGCTGTTACAGGTAAATGTTTTAAATGGATAGACTTCTGGAGCTGTGGTAATATTTTATCATTTTGCTGGGAAATACTTGACTTTTCAAACTCACTTGTGACATGAAATACCATAGATACAGTAGCCATTGGCTTTTTTTTTTTTTTTAATGCTTAGAGATTTGTTGCCTTTTAATTTTATTGATCTTCAACTAAACATAAGAAAGGGACTTGGAATCTGTTCTCCTGGCCCTCAGTAGGATCAAGAATATGAAAGGGTCAAATGGTAAAGTGTGGACATAAAATTAGCTTATACAGAAATGCTGCTAATGATCATCTTGATAAAAGTCCACTTTAATCAGCACCAGGATTAATCTAATTCAAGGATGGGCATGCCTTAATTCCCAGCACTTGATAAGTAGAGATAAATGGATCTCTGTGAGTTTGAGATCTGCCTGGTCCACATAGTGAATTTCTGAACAGCCAGATACATAAAGAGACCCTGTTTAAAAAAGAAAGGAAGAAAGGAAGAAACAAACAAAGAAAGAAAGAAACAAAGAAGAGAATCAAATTCAACATTTTGAAGTCTAGTTTTTTTGTTTAGTTTTTCTAACATTATCTAATTGGATGTGTCAGGACAAAATTACTTGTTTAATTGAAGATTTGTGACAGGAGAGGGGAAAAAAAGTCATTTTAATGCCCCCTTGATTTTTATTTTCCCAAAATTGAAATACTTGATATATCAAGTAAATGCTGTTTATTTGTAAAGTCATATCATGAATCCATTATTTTTACATAATGAAAATTAACAGAGGGAAACCAATGCAAACCTAGGCTTTGTGTCATAGGCCTGTAATCCGCACAGTTGGGAGGCTAAGACAGGAGGATCCTGAGCTCAAGGCCATGCTAGACTACATAGTCAGACTCCACTGAAGAAAAGGAAACACTACAGTTAAAACGGAGAGTAACAAACTGTTATCTATAATCTTAGCACCATTGACCTTTTAATGTATGCCTCTGTACACATAGCTATTCTTTTATAAAAATGAAATCATAATGTACCTACTATTTTATAATTTGATTTCTAAAACTTTATCATCATATTATAGACACCTTTATATGTCAATAAACAGTTCTACATTATCATACGTTGTATAACTTCACAGTGCTTCATTGTATATATTACTCCTTGCTACTTATTTACTTAATGTGTGTGTGTGGGGGGGGGGGTGTGCATGTACCATAGCTCATGTGTGGAGATCAGAGAACAGGTTGTAGGAGTCAGTTTGCTCCTACTGCAAGCTTGTTGTTCGGGTGGCTGTTTTTCCTTTTATTTATTTTTTTATGTTGTGTGTATATCATTGCATATATTTATTATACATTCATATATTTACCATTGAGCTAAGCTTGGGGACAACTGTGACCAGGCATTTGGTGGGCCGAGGCAGGAGGATTGTGTGTTCCAGGTCAACTGGACTACATAGTGAGACCCAGCCCCACTACCCCTAATTAAATGATTGCTGTAGTTTCAGTATGGAGTTAAGTATTGGCCACATAATTCATGCCACCTTGCCCTCAGCCATGATTACACGTGAAGGTGGCAGATATTAAATAGCTAGAAAAAAATGTGTACAATTGCACCACCATGATGGAAAAACAACCAACAAATAGGGTGCTGTGAGCTTTGTAAAAAAAAAGTTGCCCGTGTGGGTAGGGTTGGAAGATGGACAATCCATCATTAAATTCACTCCCCGACCAGGCAGTTGCAGAATTTAGAGTGAAGGATAACATGATCAGTAAAAATGTACTCCTTGTTTGAAGAGGGAAAAACCCAGGAGACAGGCATGCTGCAGGGAAAGCACTATGCAGGCAGCATACTCACCTAAAGACCCAATATGACTGGCTCAAGTTGTTTCCTATGTTACCAGAATAAACTTAGGGCAGTCCCATCCCAATTCCCCACTGTTACTATAGTTTCTTAATGATCATCCATTGAGAACAGTGAAACTTCATTTCCTTTTATGGCCAGGGCCATGGGGAGAGCACATAGTCTAAGAGGAAATCAGGTAGCCCAGAGCATGGCTCCAGCAGCATGGTTGAGCCGTAGCAGCAGGCTAGGCTTGAGATGGACACCCTGAGGCTGGGTCTGGGTGAACAGAATTAAAGTGTGGAAGCCAGAAAGTTCAGGCTCTTCAAAAGCATGGAAGTAATAGGAGTCACGTGGTACATATACATTTGATGAGAGGGGAAACCAGTCCCTGCTGGGAGAAGCCAGTGAGAAAGAAAAGGCTCTATTCACTGGACAGAGAGGTCATTATGCAGAGCATTCCTCTGACATTTGCTGAAGAACAATGTTTGAAAGACTCAAACTAGATTAGGTGTGAATGTCCATCATAGAGACCCCAAAGCAACTTACACTGAAACCTGTGTAAGCTGTGGTTGTGTCGAAAAGGCAAGGGGACATTGTCTGGGAAACCCACTGGCTGTTTTGGAATGTTGCAGTGTACATTTCAAGGTCCTGTGACCTTGTGAGCTTTCTTGTTGCCTTCTAAGTGATCTCTGTCAGAAGGAGACGGTGTTCAGCACAGCCCCTACACTGCCAGGAACACAGACCTTTCCTCGATGTCTTCTAAGTCTTGCTAGCATTCTCCCATTCTTAGTTCATTCTATGCACGTGTACTGTCTGGGCTCTTTACAGTGGGACCTGGACCAGCACTTGCAGTTGAGGTACTTAGGTCTCCTCAGTATGTGTTGTCTCCCTTGGCCAAAGCTACACTGAGCTATCTCCAAACTCTCCAGCATTCAGTGAAGAAATGTCTGGCAAAGGCCTGGAAATGCTCAGCTGATTTCCATGGCAAATACGGCTGTGCCACATCAGCTAGTAGGGGCACTTTCTGTGTTATCCCATGGACAAGCATAGAAGCACAAATTGGAGGAAACCAGAGCCTGTTCCATAGAGTGAACTCTGAGTGTAGGCAGAACAGATCCCCAGTTATCAGAGATTGATTTCAACCAACTCACAACTGATGCCTTGTGAAAGTACTATGTACCCATTCACATATGTATATATTGAACATAAAGTACTTCCAAATAAAATATGGAAAAAATGGACTATTGTGAGATGCTAAAGATGCATCATTGTGATTGGTTTAATAAAGAGCTGAATGGACAATAGCTAGGCAGGAAAAAGTAGGCAGGATTTCTGGGGAAAGATAGAACTCTGAGAAGAAGAGAGGTGGGAAGACACCAGTGAGATGGGAAGAGAGCCAGATGTACAGAATGAAAGCGGTAAAAAGCCATGTGGTAGAAAGAAGATTAATAGAAACAGGTTAATTAGGTTAAGAGCTAGTTGGAATAAAGTCCAAGCTTTCATAATTAATAACAAGCAAGTCTCAGTGTCATTATTTGGGGGCTGGTAGTCCAAGAAAGTCTGATGAAAAAGCTTACTACAATGAACCTGGCAGATGAAAGGTCTACGCTGATAATGAACTTCCTACCTAGTGGGTGACAATACTGTTAGATGATGCTCCATGGACAGGTCTGGTGGCACACCCTTTGATCCAGGTACTTGGGAGGAAGACACAGGAGAATCTCTGTGAATTTGAAGCCAGCCTGGTCTACATAGCATATTTCAGGAGAGCCAGGGCCCTGTAAAGAGATCCTGTCTCAAAAAAAAAAAAAAAAAAAAAAAAAAAAAGTTAACATTTTCATGAACATGACTTAGAAGAGCTGTATTTTTGTTTGTTTTTTTAATTGTTCTTTTAGAATGAGTACCTTTTGTCTGTTTGTTTTTCAAAACAGGTTTTTTTTTTTTTTTTTTTTTTTTTTCTGTGTAGCCCTGGCCGTCCTGGAACTGGCTTTGTAGACCTGGCTGGTCTTAAACTTGGAGATCCACCTGCCTCCACCTCCCAAATACTGGGATTGAGGGTTTGCACCACCACTGTCCAGCAAAAGCTGTATTTCTAGTCAGTTCTTTTTCTATTAAAAAAAAAAAAAAGTTTTATTGAGCTGCAGACTGTATCCACCTTCCTGTGTTATTCTTCACCTTCTGCCACCTCTACCAAAGCCATGTCACCTGCTCTTCCCCCTCCCCACCCCCCCACCCTGGTCACTGGGCTGAGTGCAATGCAATGGAGGTGAGGCACTGCATGGACCTGACCCCTAGCGCTGCTTGGGTGTGCGCCTTCCTGCAGCCGCGGCCATACCGACACAGACATACAGACAAAGGCTTCCTGTATGCTGAAAGGCCTGTTGGAGACTATCCTGGGCTGCCTGGGGCTCGGGCTGGGCAGCAGTAGCTGCAAAGTGAAAATTACCACCAAGGCTTATCCACTGTTTGGAAAGACATTGAAGCCTGATGGTGTGCGGTTCCAGCTTCAGAGGTTGTTGAAGAGCTGCCGTGTCCCTGGGTGGACCTCTTCTTTTTTCCACGTGACAGACCACAACACCCCTATCCAGACGATGCTGCAGACCTGCCACCAGGTGCATCAGGAGGGCAAGTTTGTGGAACTTGGCCTGTCCAACTATTCCTCTTGGGATGTGGCTGAGATCTGTACCCTCTGTAAGAAAAATGACTGCATCATGCCAACTGTGTACCAGGGAATGTACAACGCCACCACCAGGCAGGTGGAGAAGGAGCTTTTCCTGTGCCTCAGACATTTTGGATTGAGATTCTATGCATTCAACCATTTAGCTGGGGGCCTGCTGGCTGGCAGATAGAAGTTCTAGGACAAGGGCAGAAAGCAGCCTGAAAGCCATTTC